TATATATATATATATATATATATATATATATATATTTAAATATTTAATTCAATTTAATTTGTAATTTTAAATTTACTTTATTATTTCATTTAAATAAGTAATAATACAAATATTTAATTTGTGATTTTATGAATTTATTGACCATTTATTTAACATTTATATATATATGTGTGTGTGTGTGTACCTACTTAACCATATTTTGGGGACAAATTTGTACCAAAAAGTGAGCTAAACCTGACAAAATCTTCAAAAACCTCCCTTTGGGGACGTCGTCATTTGTAAAACTGGTATAAAAAATAAAATAAACATTACGCCTATGGGATGTCCCCACTTTTCACAAAAACAAACCTGTGTGTGTGTGTGTGTTTATATATAAAATAAGCAATTATACAATAATATCATATATAAGTGAATAGAAATAGATATCATATTGTTTTAAAATTAATGCTTTTAAATTTGTGTATATGCATGTATTAAAAATGGATTTAGATTTATTTTAACTTAGTGAAATTTAATTTATATATTTAATTTAGTTGATATGTGTGTATGTATATGTGTATATATATATATATATATATATATATATATATAAAACCACACACACACAAATATATAGTATATATATATATATATAAACACATTAATCAAGTTAATTTAAATACTATTAATAATACACAGAATAAGCTCCAAACTGGACTTTATGCCGATAGTCAAACGTCTGGCTACACGAGACTGGAAGCCAAGTGCCCTTGTTACACAAGCAATAAATCTCGTGGAAATCCTGAATGATATTTGACCAGGAGCCGGCGGTGCAAACGGTTTAAGCGCTCAGCTCATTTCCAAGCATTCCAGCCAGAACAGAGTAAAAGATCTTCTCACGACGCCACAGCAATTCAATAATGTGACGCAAGCTTTCATTTCAGCCCTCGTGAGTCTGGCTGATTAACCCGTCTCAGACCTGATCTGAGTTCAGCTTCTGGAGGCTGGAGAAGACAATCACCTGACTCACGCTTACAGCGCTGCCCAACAAACACACATGCTCCAGCAATGATATCACTGAGGAATTCTGGGATTGCACGGGACAAACATGGGTGGAGGACGGAGAAAAAGAGACAGGCGGGCTTGTGTTTGGAAAACAGGCACAGTGTATTGTTTTGTGCTGTATAATATAGAAAAATGCATATAAAATGACATATATGTGACCTGCTCCACATTTACATTTATTCATTTAGCAGATGCTTTTATCCAAGGCGACTTACAAATGATCCATCATTTTGACTCACATATTGGTATTTATACACTAATACACATCCATCATAAATATATGTTCCAAACAAACATAAATGTATTATTAGAAAGAGGCTTTTCTTTGTACTTTAGTGCATAAAGCAACATCACTGTCTGTTTATTTATAAAGCACAATTCAAAACAACAACAGATGTCCGATGTGACCAAACAACTGCAATATAAATATAGAATCAAAAATCACAATTTACCTTAATTACCTTAGATTTGAAAAAAGTAAATCACCAATGATATTCAATATAAATATATTAACAGTTATTTTAATGTCACTGATATTTTATTATATTTTTGTTAATATTCTGAATAAGTTTATTTTTATCATTTCTGTTTTCATTTTATTTTTACTTTTAGAATTTTAGTAATTTTATCACGTTTTTTAATCATTTTTATTACTTTTTAAAATGTCTTTATAGTTTTTATTCATTTTTAACTAAGTTGTATTTATTTTGATACATCATATTAACCTAAACATGTGAAATGATGTATTTGGCAACTAGCTAAAATAAAATAAAATAAAAGTTAAAAAAAACAATTTTTAGGTAGAGTTTATTTTATTTCAAGTAACTATTTTGAATGGTTTTAGTTAACTATAAGAACCCAGTGTTTTACATATAAATGCATATCAAAATGGTATAAAACACACTTTATAAATTATACTAGATAATAAATACAATTATTTTGTATAGCTAAAATGGATTTAAAAATAGCATTTAAAATACTGTTACTATTAAAATATGGTAAAACATAAAATAAAATAAAAACTGTATATAAATATATAAAAAAGTAGTATTTTGAATATATAATTGCAAGATCTCTAGCATATATTATATTATGCATGCATACTGAATACAATGCATATATTATGCAAATTTATTTAAAAAAACAGTAACTATTTAAAATTTTGCATTTTATTACAATTTATGGTAAAGCTATTAACTTTTTTCCATTCGTCATATTAGAAATGAAAGGTCAAGTCGAGTGCATTGCATTGTGGGATCCAGTGAGTGTACTCCGAATGTATACTGCACACTTTGAATTAGCATACTGGGAAAATCGTATGAGAAGCACAGCATGCCAAACAAACTCAAAGAAAGAAAGAAAGTTGCTACTACATCCTTAATTGAGATTCTGAGCTCTCAGATTTATATATTTCATTCTGTATTATCAGAAGCTGTCTGTGACTGAAGTTATTCACAGTGTGAATGCTCTCAACAAGCACATGAGTCAGAGATGATTTCATACTCTCTCCTCCTCCACCTTATCCTCTCATTATACGTCTTCTCAGACAGAGTTGTTTTGTGTCAATATGACGCGTGTTCCCACTTCGTTCATTCTTGGCGAGACTAGACGGAATATCTTAAAGAACAACACGCTTTTGTGGACTGTTTGCTAATCAGACAAAATAACTGTAGTGGAATATTTCACAAAAGCTCATTCACATTTTAAGTCTCGGTTTAAGTCCATAATGATGGAGATTTCAGGATTAGGCTGATATGAAACCATTTACTGTGGCAGCATGCATTCACAGATGGGGTCAAAGGTCAAACCAACCAAACAGCACATCAAACTTATCCAGACAGACCTGAAAAGTGTGTCTGGATGACGTTACATTTATCAAGAGAGAAGGCTAAACAGAAACACACACACACACACACACACACTTACAGGCCAATCTGAGCCACAAAGATGATACTCATAAAACAAATGGATTGTAAAATAACATAAACAACTACTAAACAGTACTTTTGGCTCAATCTCTGATTTACAGAAAAAGTTCGCCTGAAAATGAAAACTTGCTGAAAATGTATTCACTCTCAGGCCATCCGAGATGAGTTTGTTTCTTCATCAGATTTGGAGAAATGTAGCATTGCATCACTTGCTCACCAATGGATGTGAATGGGTGCCGTCAGAATGAGAGTCCAAAAAGCTGATAAAAACTTCACAATAATCCACACCACTCCAGTCCATCAGTTAACATCTTGAGAAGCGAAACGCTGCGTGTTTGAAAGAAACAATTCCATCCTTAAAATGTTTTAACTATAAAATTAAATACCATAATCCATAATAACGCTTCCTCCAATGAGGAAGAAAAGTCCATCTCCTGTTGTCGTCTCACATTAAAATCCACCCACATATTTGTTTAGAGCTGTTTTGGCTTGTAAACGGTGCTTGATCTGTGCAGATTTCTCTCCTGAGTCAGACGAGAAGACTTTTGCATTAGAAAGAGCAATATTATTCATATTTTAGCTGGAAGCGACGGTTTGAAGTTAAAACATTTTAATGATGGATTTGTTTCTTACTTAAGACATTAACTGATGGACTGGAGTGCTGTGGATTATTGTGGTGTTTTTATCAGCTGTTTGGACTCTCATTCTGACGGCACCCATTCACATCCATTGGTGAGTAAGTGATGCAATGCTACATTTCTCCAAACTCATCCTAGTCTTATTCTTGGATGGCATGTGTGAGTGAATGTTTACCAAATTTTCATTTTTGGGTGAACTATTCCTTTAAATGTCGTAAATGTGAAATATACACCCAGCAACCCTTTACACCACAGGCCGCCCACTTCCTCTCTCACGCCCTTCCTGTTCTTTATTTCCCCCATTCAGGCCCAAATGAGAGTGATATCCTTTCATTTCCCTGGACAGGCCCACGCTAACACAACTCATCAGGGGCAGCAAGAGAGCAGAAAGCATCCAGTGTCAGGAGAACACAGAGGACGTGCTGGAAGTCACATGAGATGCTTTCACAGGTGTGGCTCGGAAACAGACCTGTGTGTCCAGCCCAGCCAAACACTAATCTACCAACACACACTTACCGAGTCATTTAACATTTCATGGTTGCCAGAATGAGTTTGGTCAAAGATCATTCAGTCATCAAATAATCGTCTGTGTGTGAATTTTGCAAGAATCATTCAATCATTCTTCTCAGTCAATCAGCTGAACTGAGTCACACAAGGTTCTCACATTTTAATTTGCATAACTTATCTAGAATACAACAACTTCTAGGATTTAACTGGATAAAGATTTTGTTAAAATTATTGTATAGAGATTGCACTCTCACTTCAGAGTCACTTCTAGTCAAAGAAATTATTTAGTATTGATCATATCTTAAAATAATAATGCCAATGGATATATATATTTATATATTGTCTATGGAAGAAAATCACTGTGGATATTGTACTCTCAAAGATTCATTTTAAGTAAAAAAAAATAATAATAATAATAATTATAAAAATAAAAATAAATACTTTGTCTATGGATATTGCCATGACTATTCCAAAATCTTAAAATGTTTTATTAATTTCTATGACTTTTCCTAGTCTTGAAAATCACACTTTGAGATTCTCTGATATTTTCAGGTTTTCCAAAACTGTGGGAATCTGAATGATTCATTCACAAATCAGACTGACTCGTTGAAACAAGATCTGTTTCTTGTGAACATGACTGCATCACGGCAGCCTAGATGTTTTGGAAAAATTCATTACATAAAGATTCATAGATTTAAAGATTGAAAAATTCTTCACTGAATTGAGTCGGCTTACTAAATTATAGAACTTTCTGTAAAAAAACACTGACTAAAATAGTTCAAGTAAAAAGTTCAAAATCACCACAGCTGAGAGACAAAAGTGAGAGAACATCTCACCATCCAGGCTGATCACATAATCAAACACAAAGGACAGGAAACAGTACCTGGTTGTATTCAGGTGCTGAGTAGAGACTGATTCTTCCTCCTTTGCCACAAAAGGGCTTCTCAACAGACTGAAAGACAGAAAGAGGCGCTTTCCTTCATCTCACAGCTGAGGGAGAGGCAGATCTTGAGATGTTTCAGAAAAGTGAGAATGAAAGTAGAAAATCAAAATGCATCTGATGTTTACACGACAAGAGCCTCTTTTGTGTCTTGTTTTCTGGTTGATGAATTGCAACTTTGCTCCAGCACTGAAACCATATTTTTGTACTATATTACAAAATTTCCTAATTCTTTTTGGTAGCCAGATTAGATGTATCTGTTGAGTTTGGCTGATAGGAGTCAGACATCATATGCTAGTCTTTAATAAAATCAAGCTCAGATTTGCAGCTGTCTAAATCATTTAACGGATACACTTTTCATGTGACACGGTTAAAAAGAAACATCAGGAACAAGCTTCTCTTCTTAACAGCGTGTCAACACCGGCTATATTTACATGCAAACGAATAATATTTTAATCGCATTGATGACTCAATCAGACTGAAAAGCCTTCATATAAACACCTCAATCGACCCGATTAGCAACATAAACCTATGAATCCAAACACTTTATCAATCCGATTAATAAATAAAAATAAATGAATAAAAAAAGCTAAATGAAAATACATAGAAAAACAAAAACTACAAAAAATGTCAAAAATGCAATTTTGTAAATTTTATTTTACAATTAAAATAAAAACTATTCCAATTTATTACAATTATTATGACAATATTGTGTATACTCAATCGGACTGAAAAGCCTTCACGTAAATGCCTCAATAAATTAAATTAAAACATTTTTAAAATCCTCAATCAGAAAATAAAGTAAAATAAAATAAAATGCAGCCAAATAGAAATATATATATATATATATAAAAACTAAATTATTAAACCTAAACTAAAATTCAAATAAAACCTGAAAATGAAGAGCTGTCATGTAAACACCTCAATCGATTCAATTAGAATCTGAATACTTTCTCAAATGTTGTGATTCGTGTTGTTATCATTAACTAAAACCATCCAAAATCATTTTCAGTCATTTAAAATAAAGCTAAATAACTATGAATAAAGTAAATATCAAAATAAAAACTAAATAAAATATAAATATTAGATGGAAAAACAAACTTAAAAATGAACCAATGCCTTGATAGAAATGTTGCCTTGGCAAGTAACTGATATAAATAAGCTGAAGATGAAGTAACAATAACATGAAGTGACAAAGTAACTAACATTTTACGCGTTTCAGAAAGGCGGGGCATAGAGGAGAAACAATAATGTACAGTATGTGGAAAATAAAGTGACCAATTATATTACACCAAATACACAAAATAACATTATTTTTAGCAACATCATATGACCCCTTTAATAAATACTATAATAGTATATAAATAATAGTAAAAAATAACACTTGTTGTGATCCATCTGGGAGCTGACTGATTCTGTTTTCATGGCTCAAAATACTTACTTAATCATTTTTTACATGTCTTTAGAGAAAGATACACTGATGGAACCCAGACTGATGAAACACTAAGCACTCACAGCTGTGCATTATACAACTGACTAAACAGAAAATCTGTCATACCAGTGGACTCCTCAGAAAAGACTTCGTCTTTATCATCGATGTGGTCGTAGGTGATTTGTGGGATGGAGATGGCTCGTTCTCCTCCGGGACCCAGAGAACCGTTATCACGTGTGACCTTTGGCTTCCGTTTGTACCGCTTACTCTGAGAAGACAAGAGTGACTTCATAAAAAAATAATTCACCTAAAATGATGAAAAACACTTGAGTCACATGGACAACTTACACCAGCGGTCAATAATTTGGAATAATTGAGATTTTTTTACTGCTTTTTCGTCTGCTCACCAAGCCTGCATTTATTTGATCAAAAATACAGTAAAAATTTTAAATATAATTACAATTCAAAATAACTGTTTTCTATTTGAATATAGTTTAAAATGCAATTTATTCCTGTGATGCAAGGCTGAATTTTTAGCATTATTACTCCAGTCTTCAGTGTCACACGCTCTTCAGAAATCATTCTAATATGCTGATTTGCTGCTCAAGAAACATTTATGATTGTTTTCAATGTTGAAAACAGTTGTGCTGTTTCATACTTCCTTCAGTGGAAACCTTGATACACTACCATTCAAAAGTTTGGGATAAGTAATATAAAAAAAGGAAAATAAATGAATAATGTTATTCAGTAAAAACACATTAAGTTGATCAAGTGACAGTAAAGATTTATAATGTTACAATTTCTTTTACAATTCAAATAAATGCTGTCCTTTTGAACTTCCTATTCATCAAAGAATGGTTTCCACAAAAATATAAAGCAGCACAACTGTTTTCAACATTGATAATAATCAGAATTTTTTTTTTTTTTTACAATTTTACTGTTTTTACTGCATTTTTAATCAAATAAATGCAGCCTTGATGAGCAGTAAAAAAAACTCAATTATCAAATTTTTGACTGGTAGTGTATGTCATTTTCATATGAAAAACAATGGCAAATACTCATCAAAAGTGTTTTACGAAAAACCATACAAGTTTGGAACGACATGACAGTGAGTAAATGACGATTTACTCGCCATTACGCATTATTGGAAGCTCATTCAAATAATTTCACAAAGAGAAATTCAGAATTCCTCAAGTTGTGACGTACGAGTCCTAAATCCCAAAACAAAGTCACATTTAATCTCAAATGCAATCTGATAAACAGCAGCTCCAAGAAACTCTTTGTTTCTTCCCAAGAAACGCCGATAAGGCTTACGGGAAAACGACACGTCAAAATCCAGCAGATATGAAATTCAAATTTGACCTTTTTTGGAGAATATGCATTTTGTGAATTAATGAATTCTGCGGTGACTGCGCAACCTACACAAGTGAGTGAAACATTAGTCACGTCACAGCGCGGCGTGAAAAAAATCACGGCTTCCCGCTGGCCTGAATAACTGCTGCGGGGGGGAAATGAATCCGGCAGTCCTGAATGAGAGGTTTATGAAGGAGAACAGTCACACGGGCCATAGCGCTGCCCAATACGTTTGGAGTCAGAGCTACACAAAGATTTTTTTTGTTGTTGTTGCGCTACACAAAGGTTTTGCTCCCAGGAGAGCGGCTGCGATGACATAATCGCATTTGACTGTGCCTTTGTGCGCGGCAGACAAAGAGGGGGCGAGCGGAGAGAAATGACTCCGTCCCATGACATCAGGTCTCTCTCGCTGCACTTCTCCCACCTAAACCTACATCCTGACCTGGGTTCTCTTCAGAAAAGCCCTGTGAAATCCACCACACACAGTGGCGTTAATTAAAACGTTGAATGGCAAAAACCTTCTGGATCCATGTCAAACACACACTCGCCGTGAATGGAAGTCAATCGAACGTTGCCTCGGGGAAGTTTACCATCATCTGAACTTGTTAAATGACGAGCAAGCTTCTGTTTGGTAAAGAGAGAAAATACAGTTACACTACAGGCTACTAATAAAAATTTACCATGCTTAATACATGATCAAATATTTAATTACTAAACTAATAAAACCTAAAGAAATGCTTAAATTTATGTGTTCACTTCCTCATATTTAATTACGTCTGTCATAGAGACACTTTACAATTATCATACAATTGATTTCCCATTAATAATATCAAGTCTCATCCTACATTTTGATGTTGAATATCACAGATGTGTCATTATGTAAGTAAAATGAGTTGCGAATGTAATTTCAAGTTTGACTCTAAACTAAACCGGATACATTTACACTAAATACAACTAATAAAATTACAAACACCCTTATATTCCTTACCATTCAAAAGTTTGGGGTCAGTAATTTTTTGGAGGTCAGTCGATTTTTTTATGTTTTTGAAAGAAGTGTCTTATGCTCACCAAGAATGCATTTTTTAAATGTATTTATTTAATACATTTTAAAATGTAAGTTTAAGGCTTTGTGTTATGTTAGGATCATTATTATACTCTTATACCTTTTGTTCTTTAATATTTTTAATTGTTTTTAGCTTTATTTTTTGTTTTTCATTTAAATGTTAAGTTTTGAAATTTTGTTGTATGCATTTGTCATTTTTATTTAATCTCTTTATTTTTAAAATGTGTATAGGTAGTATTTATAAAGTTTGAGCTTTTAGTTTTGGATCTGTTTTAGTTGTTTTAATACTACAATTGATTGCTTCTGTTGTCCTCATTTGTAAGTCGCTTTGGATAAAAGCATCTGATAAATCACTAAATAATAATAAATAATTATTTATTTATTTAAAAAAAAAATACAGTAAAAACAGTAATATTGTGACATATTTTTTACAATTTAAAATACCGGTTTTCTATTTGGATATATTTTAAAATATAATTTATTCCTGTGATGGCAAAGCTGAATTTTCAGCAGCCATTACTCAATTTCTTCTTCTTATTAATGTTAAAAGAATATTAAGTGCAGCTTAATTTTTTTTTTTTTCAGAATTATTTTTTTAAATAGAAATCTTTTTTGTTACATTATAAATGTCTTTACTGTCACTTTTTAACAACTGAATGCATCCTTGCTGAATTTTTTTCATAAATAAATAAATGATCGCAAACTCAAAAATACCCAAAAGACAAAAATAAGGTGAATAAAAGCAGCATTTAAATAGGTATTTTTCTGTAATAAAGAAGGTATAAAATGCGGCACAAGAAATGACTCAAAAGAGAATCAGCTAATCGTTTTCTGAATCAGTTCACTTACATTAACTGATTCAGTAAAATAAATGAATCTTCACAACGCTACATTCTAGAATAGCATGTTTGGCTACGCCACTACTTTGTCGTAAAAAGATCTTTGTAAAAGTTGGGAAAGCTCTGAAAACAGCCGAGTTTGTGACACACTACTAAATATGCAGTTGAAGTCAAAATGAGGCATCACAACTCATTTTACTTCTGTAATTTGACACAGTTCAGAACAATCCGAATGAACTATTTCTCTAACACTTTACAGTAAAAATTGTGAAAAATGGCACAAAAAAAACCAGCAAGGTAGCCATGTGCAAAGTTACTGGAAAAGCTAATGTCATGCTACTAAAAAAAACTGTCAGGTTATAGTCTCGCTATTTTTACTACTTCCCAACATTAATCTAAATTCATTTAAAACACCCCTCACACCCTCTACTGTTTACCCTCAGAGACCTTTGCATGTGTTCTGGGAACTCACATGAGCCTATAGAAAGGACTTAACACACAATAAATGCTTTTACTGTCTGCGCTTTGCAGTGGCCCACTACGGAGGCTCAATCGGGACAACTGACAGGAAGGAACATGACAATGACCAAAAACACAACACAAAGGACTTGAAAGGCAAGACAGAGAAATATCCGTTTGCAGACGGGGGAGGGAGCAGGGAGCATTTCTCCTCACCAGCCGTCTGAAGTTGCCCGGGCTGGAGTTTTCCGAGTTTATGATGGGGATGTAGTCACCCGTCAGCACGTACATCTTCCACGTGGCCGTACAGCCGTCGGACTTCTCACAGGCGTAGCATCTCCACAGCGTCTGAACGTGGGGCAGAGTTATTTATGGTATGTTAAGGAGGAAATGTTCATTGTGTTGTGGCCGTAGCTTTAGCTGTCTTTTGTCACCTGTATTAGAGAGGCTGCGGCTGGAATCTGCCGATTAAAATGTTTCTGCCTCTGTTTCTGCTGGACTTTAAGAGCAAAACCAGATCCCAGAATGCCCTGCACACAGAGGAAGACCGTTTAAATGTTCAGCTACCACAAAATAAATAAACTACATGAAAAAACTCACACTTATAGCATGCATTTCATTGTTTTATTATTAAAATTACTTTAGTGCTGCTACAAATGTGAATGAATCATATAGGCCAAATAAAAAGCACAATAAAACATAAATACATTTATATAAATGATTTTACAGTATACTTATATTAAACATTATTTACTTTATATTAATTTATTACACATTAATTTAAAACTATATAATTTAGAATTTAATATAATCTTACTTCTATTATCATTTATATAATACATTTATCAATTCAAAAATAAATGTATTTATATGAATTGTAAATTATATTTGAAATTATGTATATTCTAAATATGTATTTTTTTATATATTTTAAATTAAAGTATTATATATTAATTTAAGTATATATTATTACAATTGTTTATAATAAGTGTGTATGTATGTGTGTAGTATATATATTACTATAATATTTCAGTAATATTTCTACATTAAATAATATATATTATTATAAATAATATTATATTACTATATTATTTTAAATTATATCATTTAGAATGAATAATAATTATTCATTTTATATATATATATATATATATATATAGTGCAATAAATTAATGCATTTTAAATAAAGAATTTTATGAACTGCAGTACTTTTAGGTTTGTTGGAATTGTGCTTAAGCCTTATGTTGCAGATGCATGTTATATAATGTGTAACATGAGGACCGCGGGCCCCTGAGGCCCCTGGAGGCCCTATCACTCTTAAATGGACCACATTAACCCTGGACCCCACTACTAAAGGGCCTCTATTGGAAAACACTGCCCTGGGGCGCCAGACAAGCTCAGAGAAAGTGTGCGTGTGTGTGTGTGTGTGTGTGTGTGTGTGTGTGTGTGTGTGTGTGTGCACGCAAAGAGAACGACAGGAGTCAGTGTGTTTACCGCAGGCAGAGCAAAGAAGGAGATCGCGAACACGCTAAAGCAGGAGGCGATGGCCTTCCCAATCCACGTCTGAGGGACTTTGTCTCCATAGCCTATCGTAGTAACCGTAACCTAAGAGAAAAACAGAGTTTGGGATTCACATTCGTGATTTTTAGTAATATTTGCAAAGATGTGATAAAAGAGACAACACCTAGCAACCTCCCAGAACACCCTAACAACCATTGCTCCTAGAGTATTATAGCAACACATTTAAAAACACATCTTAGAAACTGTAAAGAAATGGGCTAAAAACATACAGAACACACTGTCAACCGATAGTGGATTTTACCGATACCGATAGCTAGATTGGACCACACTGGCTGATACCGATTAATCAACCAATAGTTTTTAAAATGGATACTGAACGAAAACTAAAATAGTGCTCTACTATTTAAAAAAAAAAACAGTACTGAACCACACTTTTGCAAATGAATAAAAATATTAATATGAATTATTATACTGATTATTAAAGTTAGTATATAGATTAATAACTAATGTTAACTTTAAAATTAAAAAAATGTATTAGTGATAGCAAATGTTGAAATTAACACACTCTGATAAGGAACAATACTTATACAGCTTTCATTTATCTTAATGTTGCAAATGGACTCTTATTGTAAAGTGTTACCATTTCATTTCAGCAGTCATGCTAAAGATGTCTATCTTTAAAGATCTACAAAAAAGCCATAGCTATTACGTATAGATATTGTATGTGTACTCTCACACTTTATTTGCTTCTATTTTAGAACACTTGATGATTATCTAATCAAAATAACAAAATATGTTAGTCACACACCAGGCAAAAGCGCAGCGTTGCATCTAGGACAAATTACAGGTATCACACGCATCGCATTCAATTCAAGTGGCAGTCTAAAACAGTTTATTTAATCACCAAACGGGCAAAGGTTTACTTCCAGAATGAACAATGTAGCATATATGAGTTTGAAGTTTGGTGTTTAAAAAAAAAAGAAGAGCAAACAGAAAGAGAACGCGCAATCTATATTATAGCTCTATAAATGAAGCATACAGCCTTTATTAGAGCCACGGAAAGACAATCGTTTCACTGAAATACACAATCTTACAGTCCAGTGTGAAGTCTTTATGTACATTAACAACTATCTGGGAACAAATTTAACGTAATTTATTGGAAAACTGTGTGAATGGCGCTCTGTGGTGCAGCAGGATTTTCTGTTAGCTACATTTAAATCCACATCTGAATTTTCCCACACTGTGCAGCACACAGTGTCACGTGTCAAAACAAACAGCATGAGGTGTCAGTGATTTCCGCCTCTAGAGGCTGCTCTCATTCTGTATTTAATGACAGCAGACCCTTCTCAGCCGCTCTAGCTATGGACGCAACCGGATGGATTTTTGCCGATAGCCGGCAGTTCCAGCAATCGACTATCGGTGCCGATAAATGGGCAAAACCGATAAATTGGCCTATCTCTACTGGCAACTAAATAGCAATGCTCTGGCAACCTATAAGATCTTGGCGGCTAGTTTTGCTTGGGCAAACACCATTTGTTTTTGTTTTTTTACCCGAAACTGTAAAATTCTAGTTTTTTACGTCCATCTTGACCAAACCAGAATAGACATTACATCTACACAACATTTATTTTAATTTTGGAAGCAACAAATACACATCAAATCAAAAACATATCTATGGAAATGGCAGATGTGTCATACTTAAGGATTTCTGCATGGAAAGTGGGGTTTCAGCTAACACAGAGGAAAACAAACAGGCCTGTAGTGGCGCGTGAAAGTGTAGTCCATTTGAGAGGGCTTTCTGGTGATGAGGTGTGTTTGCGTTCTTTCCATTCAAGATGGACAAAAAGAGCTAAAGTAAGACGAGGCATCAAACATGTGCTTCGGGTGGCGAGAGGGTTTAATCCCACCACTGAACATCCAAAACACCACAAAGGCCACGACAAGCGGGAGTCCATATTCACCGGGATTCAAGTGCCATGGGTGGCGCCGCCTCAATTTAAGTTTCTGTTGTGGATATAAACATTCCCACCATTCCAAAGAAAGACCCCGAAAATTCCCAGACCAGACCCGATGTCAAATATAAGCTATTTGAGTAGGGAATGGGATGTAACGATTAACCACGAGCCGGTTGAAAATTGATTAAAATATGGGACGATTCAAATCGGTTGAGATGCTAAACAAATCGCGATTCATTTAGGGGTAAGAGTTTATATGAATGTATGTCTGAGGGGAATTTACTGTCTTTAGAAAAGTTTAAATGGTATTTTTTCTTTTCCTCTTGCCTCTGTATAATGCATATTAAAGTTCATAAGTGCAGCGCTGCTTTGTTTACAGCAGAAACCAAGTAAACGCTTTAAGCGCCACCTGCTGGCAGAGAGTGAATCTGATTCTCATTCAGCTCGTCTGCTGTTTCTGTTTCATGCATATATTTTTTATGTATAGTTTCACAAAACTGAAGTCAAACCATTCTGTTTTTGTTTCAAATTTCGAAATTATACAATCCAATTTAGATTAAAAACTGCTCATGTTGCATGTATGCAGCATCTTTGTTTGGATCATGATTCAAATGCAGTGGTTGCCTCTAATTTTAAATGGAAAGAGCACAGACAAAGCCTTAGTTTGTTTATATGAAGAGATTTATTTTATTTGTGTTACTTATTTATTTGATTTGGGACTTGTTTTAAAATTTCAATTTAGTTTTGTTATTTACTATTACATTATATTTAAATTTTGTCATTTAGCAGATGCTTTTATCCAAAGCGACTAACAAATGAGGACAATAGAAGCAATCAAAACCAACAAAAGAGCAATAATTTACAAGTGCTATATTAGTATATTATTATAGTGTTAGATTTCAGTTTCACAAAGAAGCACGCAACATTTTGTCCAAGCAATAATAAAAGGACACATTTAATTTATAATTTGTCTTAAATCTCATTTTGTTAAAAATAATAATAATCGTGAATCGAATCGTGAAATCTATGGAAATGGCAGATGTGTCATACTTAATCGTGAATCGAATCGAATCGTGAGTTGAGTGAATCGTTACATCCCAATATTTGAGACACAAAATACATTACTGTTCAACTAACACTGACATACAACACCCATGAACCATCCACACTGAGGGCCTTTTCCAAAACCTGCTGAGCTCCCTAAGTAGGCAGCATTTTAAGGTACATGACCGACATAAAAAAAAAAAACAGCATAAGAATACCATAAAAGATATCTAATACTGGCCAAATTCTCAGACATCATCACCAGTGTCCTTCATGGAGAATGCAATCCCACAATGCATCATGAAATGTGGAGGAGAATGCGGGCATATGTTATAAACATACTTGATATACATTCAAACTTGAAATTTCTCTACAGACAAGAAACTTCATGATGAAATTAACTGCATCATTAAGCTTGCGTGTGAAGTCACACCAGATCTCCAGAGGGCAAAGAGGATTTCTAGATAGATTTTAATTATGTAAAAACCACAAACACACCTAACATTGAACAACTCAAATGATTTATGATAGACCATGATTGATGTAAAGCAGTACTCCAAGGTCGTTGAACAGACCAACTAGCTTAACAAGCAAGACTTCCTTAGTAATCATCAAATGGAAACTAGTCTAACCTGGTCTTGTGAACAAAGGTGTTTCTCTGCTTGTCAACTCCAATAACTCCAGTTTTCAAAGAAGAAGACTAAACTCACCACACCCCACCACAGAGCATCAGCATAGCTAGAAAAACCCGTCTTCCCCTCCTCGTCTACTGCGTCTTTCTCTGCCAGATACACGAAATATGACGAGAAGATCAGACCCAGGAACCCGATGTACAGCGTGGTGATCAGCTCCTGAACCAGGGGAAAATAGTTTGTTAATAATCAACAAAGATGAACCCATTTCCAAGACTTTAGATTGAACTGTATATAAACATAAATAAATAAGATGTGTATTTAGCATTAGGCGAACATTTTAGCAATGTCCTAAGATCTTAGATGTACCTGGTCACCATTTATCTTTTTGCTATCGCTAATTCACCTAAACGGTCCTGTGGTGTGACAAATGCATTTTTTAAAGTACGAATATTCCATGTAATCTCCAAATGAATAAAGTGAAAATGAAAAATTACTTTTAGAAATGCAAAATAAATAAAACATTCACAAATAAAAAGAAAAATAAGAATGAATAAAATGAATAAATAAATGAAAACAGCAAAAAATGACTCCATGAGTAAATAAATAATTAAATAAAGATAAGTACAAGATGTAGGATGTTTTTTATCTCTTAAAAAAGTCTTCACTTTCTCTTGAGTTCCTGATTATTTCAAGGATCTTCATTATTTCAGTGATCTGACTAATTTTTCTTATACATATCTTACATATAGGGATGCACCGATACCACTTTTTCCAGTACTCGCCCGATACCGATACTTTTATTTTTGGTAATTGCCGATATTTTTATTGCATTCGTACATTTTTTTAATATTGGGTACAGAAACCAAAACAGTATGTATAATTTTAGTTGGTTAACTTCATTTATCAAATAGATACAGTCAAACCAAAATGTATTCAGACACCTTCAACATTTCCCACATTATCACAGTTTATTCGCTATAGTTTAGAAAATGGTAATAAAATATGACAAGAACTCAGAGTTAAACTGTGTCAGAACAAATTCAGCTTGATAATGTTAGATAACTTTGATAGAAAGGTATGTAGCCTAATGGATTACAATCAACCAAAAAATTAGACAGCTGTTAGTATGACAGTATTTACACAACTATCAATACTTTGTCGGGTGACCCTTAGCCTTAAAGACAGCCTGTAGTCTCCTGGGCATGCTGTCACCCAGCTTCATGCAAACCTCAACTTCAATGTTTATTCCCAGACTCGGTCTGAATAATTTTTGTTCCCAAATTTGTATCAGTTTTACTGGTAGTCCACTGTATGAAGAAATTTTGGGTATAATTTGTCACAGTTTACTTTATTTTGCTATCCTCACCTACATAAATGAACTATAGTGTCCTGCACCCACTAGTAAAAAAATATAAAAAACATCTAAAATTATATCTGGTCTCTGAATAATTTTTGGTTTCACTGTATATCCTTTGGTTATTTTCACACTTAATTATGCCCATTAAAATGTATTTTACAAGTTTTTGTTACTTTCTCTGTTCATTTTTTGCTCTATGGTACATCATCTTTAATTGAATAGCATTAGAGCTGCTCCATTGCAGCGGCTCAGTACTGTAATCACGTGCTTTGCTGTAATAATGCAGGGAACCACTCGTTATAAATCTCCTAACTGTATTTTTAGAAATAGAAGTCGCGTTTTTTCATCTGAAACGTGCTGCGATTTATATTCCAAAGCCACTCATATAATGCAGAAACACTCAAGCAAGCAAAACACGCGCAACGCGTGCAC